ATCCCTTTTGAGTTGACTTTGGTATATGGTCAGAGGTACAGGTCTAGTTTCATTCTCCTACATATGAATGTCCTATTTTCCCAGCACCATTTACTGAAGAGGCAGTCTCTTCCCCAGTGTGTGGTCTTGGTGCCTTTGTTGATGATCAAATGGCTATTGGTATATGGGTTGATATCTGGATTCTCCATTCTGTTCCATTGGTCTGTGTGTCTGTTTTTATGCCAGTACCATGCTGTTTTGGTTACTATAGCTTTGTAATATAGTTTAAAGTCAGGTAGTCTTATGTCTCCAGCTTTTTTTTTTTCCTCATGTTTTCTTTGGCTATTCATGATCTTTTGTTATTCCATATAAATGTTAGGATTGCTTTTTCCATTTCTGAGAAGAATGTCATTGGAATTTTGATGGGGATTTCATTGAATCTGTAGATTACTTTGGGTAGTATGGACATTTTCACAATGTTAATTCTTCTAATCCAAAAGCATGGGATATCTTTCCATCTTCTTGTGTCCTTTTAATTTCTCTCAACAGTGGTCTGCAGTTCTTATCATAGAGATTTTTCACATCCTTGGTTAACTTTATTCCTAAGTTTTTATTTTTTTGGTGACTTGTAAATTGGCTAGCTTTCTTGATTTCTTTTGCTTCTTGTTCATTGCTGGAGTATAGAAATGCTACTGATTTTTGCATGTTAATTTTGTATCCTGCAACTTTGCTGAAATCATTTAGTAACTCTAAGAGGTTTTTTATAGAGCCTTTAGGATGTTCTATATATAGGATCATATCATCTTCAAACAGGGACAGTCTGACTTCGTCTTTTCCAAACTGGATACCCTTTATTTCCTTCTCTTCCTTGATTGCTCTGGCTAGTACTTCCAACACTTTGTTGAATAGGAGTGGTGAGAGTGGACATCCTTGTCTAGTTCCTGTTCTTAAGGGAAAAGCTTTCAACTGTTCCCCATTCAGGATGATATTGATAGTGGGTTTCTCACATATGGCTTTAAGTGTGTTGAGATACTTTCTTTCTATATCCAATTGATAGTCTTTATCATGAACGATTGTTGAATTTTTGTCATATGCTTTTTTAGCATCTATAGAGATTATCATATGGTCTTTGTCTTTGCTTTTATTGATGTGGTGTATCACATTTATTGATTTGCTTATGTTGAACCAAACTTGCATCCCTGGGATGAATCCTACTTGATCATGGTGTATAATTTTATGTATGTGTTGATGTATTCTATTCACTAGTATTTTATTGAGAATTTTTTCATCTATATTCATCAAAGATATTGGCCTGTAGTTTTCTTTTTTTGTTGTATCTTTGTCTGGTTTTGTTTTGGGGTTGATGTTTGCCTCATAGAATGAGTTTGGGAGAATGGCCTCTGTTTCAATTTTTTGGACTAGTTTGTAGAGAATTGGTATTAATTCTTCTTTAAAGGTTTTGTAGAATTCTGCAGTGAAGCCATCGGTCCTGCACTTTTCTTTGTTGGGAGACTGATGATAACAGCTTCAATCTCCTTGATTGTTATTGGTCTGTTCAGATATTATGTTTTTTTGGCTCAGTCTTGGCAGGTTATGTGTGTCCAGAAATTTATCTATTTCCTCCAGATTTTCAAATTTCTTGGCATATAGTTTTTTTATAGTAGCCTCTAATGATTCCTTGTATTCCTGAGGTATCAGTTGTAATATCACCTTTTTCATTTCTAATTTTTGTTATTTGTTTCTTCTCTCTTCTTTTTTTAGTTAGTCTTGCTAATGATTTATCACTTTTATTTATCTTTTCAAAAAACCAACTTTTTGTTTCATTGATCTTTTGTATCATTTGGGGGGTTTCTATTTCATTTAGTTCTACTCTGATCTTAATTATTTCTGTCTACTAACTTCGTGTTTGGATTGTTCTTGTTTTTCTAGTTCTTTAAGGTGAAGTGTTAGGTTACTTGCTGTATTAGTCCATTTCTGCTGCCTATAACAAAATACTTGAAACTAGGAGATTTATAAAGAAAAATGAAATTTATTGCTTACCATTTCTTAGGCTGGGAAGTCCAAAGTCCATCAGGTGGTGGCAACAGTGAGCCAGGGGTCTCACATTGCAAGATGGTGGAAGCAGAGAGAGCAGAGAGAAAGAACAAGACAGACTCTCCTCTTCTTTTAAAGCCCTCAGAACCATGCCCTTGACCACCATTTTTAATCCATTCACTACAGCATTGTCCTACAATCCAATCACCTCTTTAAGCCTCCACCTTTCAATTACCAGAATAGGATTTCCCACCCTCTTAAAAGTCACAGTGGGAGAAATAAAACTTGTGGGACACAATTCAAGCTTCAGGGAGTTTGGGGGGGACATAATTCAATCCCCTACACTTGCCATCTTTCCATTCTTCTGAAGTAAGCATTTAATGCAATAAATTTCCCCCTTAGTACTGCTTTCACAGTATCCCACAGGTTTTGGTATGATGTCATTATTATCATTAGTTTCAGTAAATTTTTTGATTTCTTGTTTAAATTCCTCTTGGACCCATATGTTATTGAGTAGAATATTCTTTAATTTCCATGAATTTGTATAGTTTTCAGAGTTTTGTTTGTTATTGATTTCTATTTTTAATCCATGATGGTCCAAAAAAATACATGGAATAATTCCAATTTTTTTAATTTGTTGAGACTTGATTTGCGACCTAACATGTGGTCTATCCTGGAGAATGTTCCATGTGCTGATGAGAAGAATGAATATTCTGAGGTTGTTGGGTGGTATGTTCTGTAGATATCTGCCAAGTCCAGCTGGTCTAAAGTGTTGTTTAGATCTTGTGTTTCTCTGTTGATTTTTTGCCTAGATGATCTGTCCAATGTTGACAGTGGAGTTTTCAAGTCCCCTACTATTATGATATTACTGTCTATATCTTTCTTTAGGTCTAATAGTGTTTGCTTTATAAATCTGGTGGCTCCAATGTTGGGTGCATATATACTTATGACTATGTCTTCTTGTTGTTATGTCTTCTTATATGTCTTGGTCCTTTTATCATTATATAGTGGCTTTCTTTATCTCTTTTTATAGTTTTTGATTTAAAGTTTATTTTGTCTGATATAAGAATAGCTACTTCAGCTTGTTTTTCATTTCTATTTGCATGGTATATCTTTTTCCATCCTTTCACTCTTAGTCTATGTGCATCTTTACAGGTGAGGTGAGTCTCTTGAAGGCAGCATATTGTTGGGTCTATCTTTTTAATCCAATTATTCAGTCTGTGTCTTTTGAGTGAGGAATTTAATCCATTTACATTAAGAGTTATTATTGAAAGGTGTTGATTTACTCCTGGCATTTTATTGATTTTTATTTGGATGTTTTAAACATCTTTTGTTCCTTTCGTTCTGATTTACTATTTGTTTTCTGTGTTTGTTGGTTTCTTGGGATGGTAGATAAACTGTATTTCTCTTTATTGTTAGCATTTTTATTTTACTGGTAGGATTTATTCTTTCTTTGGTATTCATGGTTGCTGTGCTTGTTTTTCAGGTACCAGACCCAGTACTCCCTTGAGAATTTCTTGTAAGGCTGGTCATGTGGTACAGAACTCCCACAGTTTTTGTTCGTCTGAGAAATATACTATTTGTCCTTCATTTAGGAAGGATAGCTTTGCTGGGTAAAGTATTTTCAGCTGGCAATTTTTGTCTTTTAGTATTTTGAATATATCATCCCATTCTCTTCTGGCTTTTAGGGTTTCTGATGAAAAGTCTGATTTTAGTCTGATAGGTGACTTGATACTTCTCTCTTGCAGCTTTTAAGATTCTCTTTTTGTCTTTGAGTTTTGCCAGTTTGACTATAACATGTCTTGGAGAGGACCTTTTGGGTTGAATATGTTTGGGGATCTTTGAGCCTCCTGAATCTGAAGGTCTGTATCTCTCCCTACACCTGGGAAGTTTTCTGCTATTATTTCATTGAATATGTTTTCAATGCCATTTCCCTTTTCCTTCCCTTCTGGAACACCGATGATTCAGGTATTTGAGCACTTAAGGTTGTCTGCTATCTTTCTTAGATTTTCTTCAATTTTTGAAATTCTTTTTTCTTTTCTTTTGTCCACCTGTGTTATTTCAAACAGGCAGTCTTCAAGGTCAGAAATTCTCTTGTTTTAGTTTGTTGATTAAGCTCTCTGTCGTGTTTTTTATAAATGAATCCTTCAGCTCTGCAAGTTCTGCTACATTCTTTTTCAGGACATTGATTTCTTTGTACATTTCCTCTTTCAGGTCCTGTATACTTTTTCTCATTTTGTTGTGTTGTCTAACTGAGTCTTCTTGTATCTCATTTAGTTTCCTTAGAATTTTTGCTTGAAATTCCTTGTCAGTCCTTTCAAGGACTTCCTGTTCTATAGGATCTAGAACTTGAGAGTTATTATATTCCTTTGGTGGTATCATACTTTTGTTGCAGTGTTGAGTATTTCAAAGGTCAGAGACGCAAAACAAGATGACCAGTTTGCAGTCTACCAAAATGGCCCAAGTGAGAGGTGATGAAGGCTTATCCCAGGGTCCTGAGATTATAAAGGTGTATAATACACACACACACACACACACACACACACACACACACAATTATATATATATTATATATATAATGAGCCACTAAGTATATAAGGTATATATATGTGTGTGTGTTACATATATAACACAAACTATTGTATGTAATGAACATCCACTAAATTTATAAAATAAATAAAGCTTTAAAAAGCAGTAATGGGCCAGCCTGTGGCTCACTCGGGAGAGTGTGGTGCTGATAACACCAAGGCCACGGGTTCGGATCCCATATAGGGATGGCCGGTTTGCTCACTGGGTGATCGTGGTGCTGACAACACCAAGTCAAGGGTTAAGATCCCCTTACCGGTCATCTTTTTAAATAAAAAAAAAAAGCAGTAATAAAACAAAGACAATTAATCAATGGAAAGAAAGGAAGTTTAAAAAAAAAAAAGTAAGTATGCAAGATCCTGACAAGACATGTGGTGGCAAAAAAGGATGAGCCAGCTTACTTTTTGGTTTCTCCTGAAGTGGTACCATGGTGCATGTCTCCTTAGTCTTCTTTATCCTAAAGATTACATATTATCATTAAATCACCGTACATAAATACAGAAAACATTAAATGATACAATAAGGGGAAAGTAGCCTACTTTTAGTGAACCTTATTTTTTGAATGACACCACATTGAAATCAAATAAATGTTAAAAAAAGAAAATTCTGTCCATCATAACTAACCCAATCAGAAGAAGATAGGAACCAACTCAATATTCTGTTTTTTCCTAGAAAATTTTACCAGTGGAAGAATGCTGTGTCTAACTCTTCCCACGGATCTTTATCATAACTCTTACTAGTCATGACTCAGGCAATGTCAGGAGGAAAGGAATCAAGATTAACAGAGTTTCTGGATGTCTCAGATACCAACTATCATCTATTTATACACTTTTTACCTATTAATCACCACAATCTGAATCTTGTCATAATTGACTTTTGTTCCTACTGGAATAGACCTAGATAATAAGTAGGTTATCATTTTCATGATAATAATATTATCATTAAACACATTATGACTGAATCTGCTGTGTGTGAGATAATCAATAATAAGAACTCCAAATTTATTGTAACTTCTATATTAAACTTTAAAAGGCAACAGTAACTTTTAAATACTTTTCACCTCTAGGATTATTATTGTGAGTTATATTACCAGAGTGTGCTTTAAGATTCACTAAAAATTTTTAATTACCATTAAAAAATTAGGAAAAATATTTGACTTTTATCCGAGTTTTAAAATCAAATATCCAAATATGGAGGGGAAAAAAAGAGGATAAGGAGTTGTACATAAAAAAGACAAAAATGAGTACTTCCCTGCTTTGCCAAGACTGTTCTTTCTCAGGGTGCTGTGCAATATGCAGAGGAGGGTAAAATACTTGTAGGCGACTTGACATGTTCTCCCTGGAAAGGCTAAAATAAAGACACTCATTTCAAAGTCAGGAAAGAACTAATATTTATATTTGCCAAGCCCTTCATTTACATTATGTCACTTAGCCATCACAATTCTTTATATAAGAACGCTTGTCATAATACGAATAAAATGTATTCATCTTATCCTTCATTGACTTAAGTAAATTCACACTCAAGTCCATGTAAAACATTTAGAAATAATTTCACAAACAGCCCAATCACAAATAATAAACAAAAATAAAAAAGAACTGAAATAGGGTAGAAACAATAGGAAGCAAAATAAAGACTCAAAATTAAGAGGTAGAATGGGCTAATTCGGGGGGTCCTTTCCAGGCTTCCAGCTTCTTGAAGATGATCACATATATTAAGGAAGGGTAACAAGCCTGGTCCATACTGACACAAAGTCCACTGCCACAGGCGCCCTACACACTCTTACCCCCTCCCCACAGGGCACTGGGACCCCTCATGAAAATGACAAGAGTAAGTCGAGTGTCGGGGACACAGGTGTCCTGGTAATGATGTAAACCAACTGTCCTTAAAGTATGTTTTATATTCTTGTTTGAAATGGTCCTTCTTTATGTTTTCCTGCCATCCCTCCTATTTGATTTAAGTTACCATCTACTCTGCGAGCAACTCACTCTCTTCTACCATCTCTGATTTTGCCTTATTTTATTATAATCTTACTTCAGAAAGAGTAATTTTGCTTTTTTAGATAATACTAAAAATGATGACAAAGCCTATATGTATGACATTGGTGATCGTGGTGTTATCCATATAACTGAAGAAGTCAAAGCAACTTAAGAGTCCAACAATAGGAAATACTTAAATAAACTGTGGATCCATCAGTGAAATATGTGGCTCGTAAGACTGAAGATTACATAATGACATGAAAAAAATGTATATATGTAATATTATGTTTTTTAAAAGGCAGAATAAAAAATTGTAAGTATTCTAAAATCACAACTAAAATAAAATCCATGAAAATAAAGGACAGAAGAGAACACCCAACAATAAAAATGGACATGTTCGGTTGAGGAGATTATCAAGTAATTGTTTTTCTTTTTTCCCAAATTTTCTGCAAAGTTCCTACTTTTTTCATAACTTAAATAAAAATTATTCATAACTTCATTTTTAACATGTTCTAGTTCTTCATTACCAGAATTTATATGAAGAGTACTTAACAAGAACAATAATACTAGTTGGAAAACTCAAGAAATGTATTCCAAAGCTCCAAACAGTTGTGCTATGCATAACTGGATTATTTTATTTTATTTTATTTTTATTTTAACGTTTAATAAAGCAGGAAGATAATATGAAAACATAAATCCTCCTCTAAAGAAAGTTGCAACTCAGAATGCTATAAGTGCTTTATTTTATTTTTAGGCTGGCAAGGTGAACAAGTATTAGACATTCAATAAATATCTGGTGAATAAATAAATAAACCAGAAACTGAATACAATATGAGACTATCTCACAACTTACAGATCCCTTTGGAGAAAGGGGTTTTCTTTAAATGGCATGTCAGTCGGTCTGACTTACAGTGGGAAAGGTATTTATAATGTTTCTAAATGCCAGTATTCAAAGTCGGGGAGACTTTTCTGGTTAAAAAATTCATTTTGTGGTATGGAGGTTCCTCAAACAGCTGAAGATAGATCTACCATACGACCCAGCTATCCCACTGCTGGGAATATACCCAAAGGAATGGAAATCATCAAGTCGAAGGTATACTTGTTTCCCAATGTTCATTGCAGCACTCTTCACAATAGCCAAGAGCTGGAATCAGCCCAAATGTCCATCATCGGATGAGTGGATACGGAAAATGTGGCATATCTACACAATGGAATACTACTCAGCTATAAAAACGAATGAAATACTGCCATTTGCAACAACATGGATGGACATTGAGAGAATCATCAAGTCGAAGGTATACTTGTTTCCCAATGTTCATTGCAGCACTCTTCACAATAGCCAAGAGCTGGAATCAGCCCAAATGTCCATCATCGGATGAGTGGATATGGAAAATGTGGTATATCTACACAATGGAATACTACTCAGCTATAAAAATGAATGAAATACTGCCATTTGCAACAACATGGATGGACCTTGAGAGAATAATATTAAGTGAAACGAGTCAGGCAGAGAAAAAGAAATACCACATGTTCCCACTTATTGGTGGGAGCTAAAAATAAATTAATTAATTCACTCACATACACACACAAAAAAGAAATCCAGGGGGGAGGGGGAGAAGAAGATATAACAACTACAATCTTTTGAAGTTGTTACAACAAGCAAACGGAAAGGACATTCTTGGGTGGGAGGGGGGAGAGAGAGGAGGAAGGGAGGTTTCGGTGATGGGCCATAATAACCAACTACATTGTATATTGACAAAAATTAAAATTAAAAAAAAAATTCATTTTGGATAGTTAATGCAGGGTCGTAATTAGGCCCCCACACTACTTAAGTCAAACTAGAAATGAAACACAAGGTTCTATATCCCGGGTACGGAAACCTGTTAATATTGCAGAGTTAATTTTTTTTTGGGGGGGGGCACTGGTTGGTATGAGGATCTGAACCCTTGACGTTGGTGTTATAAACTGCACTCTAATCAACTGAACTAACTGGCCAGCCCTGAGAGTTAACTTTTAATTGCTAAAAATTCCAGTGCTCTCATTGACATGTTGTAGGATAGGGTAATCAAAATTTTAAAATCCTTTCTGGTGATGTCACTTGAAAACAGAAAAGTGCCCACTTGTCAAACTGAATAAAATGGCTAACTTAGATTTAAAAAATTAAATTCTTTATTTAAAAATATGAGCAGGTAAGAATTAGATTCGCAAGTCAGAAAAACCCCTACATTCAGCAGTATTACTACAAATAAATATTCATCAAAAGAGAATTGAACAGCAGTGATCTACCTGACTGGAGGCGTCTCAGTGTCAGCACGCAGCAGTGTTTTGTGCACCTCTAGTAGAGTTGAACTTATACTTTTTTGGCAACTTTGCAGTCCTGGTAAATATGGCATTTTGACACGTTCCTTGAGCTCTTCTAGACCAAACGCTGTGGAATATTCTAATTTAAAATATTATCATAATCATCTTGATTAAATGTATACAACTTTTACTACTTACTAAAATGCATAATAAAATATACTAAATCAGTCATGAGGTAAAGAAAATTAAGCAATTGTAATTAATCTAGCATCTTTCCCAGGAGACACCTTTTCAATTCCTACCATAGGGACTACATTAAGGGGCTGATTAGAATTACAATAAGGAAAAAGGACAGTTTCACAGATCCTTCACAGTTGTTAGTTTCCTCTGTCTTCATTATATTATTTAATTAGATTTCCCAGAATATTAGATACACTCACACTGGCATGAAAATCACTTTCAAGTGTCTTGTATTATCTGCTACTTTGACGCTTTCCACTTTCCGGCTTTTACATAAATAATCAAGAGGTGTAAATATATGACCAACTGAGCTAGCAAGGAGATATAAAATAATTCTACTTCAGGAATTGATTTTAATTCTCTCCATAAAATTCCATACTGAATCTATAAATAGCAACAAAGAAGATTAAAGTCATCTACTGACCCCATATATCACTGCAAAAAGTGATAGCCAAATTATTAAAAGAAAAAAATTCAAAACAAAGGCATTAAATGGCACAAGTAGATCAAGAGGTTAAAGGGTTAGATGGTTTTTAAACACAGAGAATTTTTTTAAAGCTTTCTCTACTAAGCAAATCTAGCATAGTGACAAAAATAGTATTTAATGGGACTAGTGTTACCATATTAAATGTTCAAAAACATTTGCTATTTTGCAATCTTTGATTTTTCCTTTTTTAAAAAAAAATAGTTTCCCTTGATCAAAATACATGTACATTCTCTTTTCAACAATTAAATTTGGGGGGTAGAAGAGTGGATAAATTGGTGTCTTCTGAGTACTTTTAATGGGAACCTGCTAACAAAGCTGAAAAATAATGTAGAGCAACACTCTCAAAACCAGGAGGGATGAAATAGTTGAGTAGTTTAAATTTTGCTATTTTCAAGAAATATATCTCCATTAATAAAGCTGAACGCAGACCTCAGAATAAAGAAGAAATACAATTATAACTTGAAAGTAAGGGAGAAACTCTTAATTCACTCATGCAAGTTCTCAAACTAGTCTTTATTGAGCAACTATAGGATATATTATGCTCTCCACATAACTCACTGAAAAATAAAATTTTGGTTGAAATTATTAATTAACACACAGAGGAATTGTTAAAGATTTGGGTGTTTTAAAATATAAAAATCAATTTGATGTATTTAAAAGAAAAGAAAACACTAATTCTAAAAAGGGATGTGATCCTTTTTAGAATTAGATAGTACCGTACTGAATGTTAACAGAAGTAGTTCTTTAAAATTTGCTTCTATCATGAGCAGAAAATTATATTAATTAAGTTAATTTTAACTTGCTTCCATTTTTCTTTTCCACAAACTTATTATTCATATATAAATGTCACAGAAATTATAAAATGTCTCGACTGCTTTAAAAAATACATGTAAATTCAAGGCATTTTTATGTCTTCTTAACTAAAATATCAATAAAAATGAAGTTACCTTTCCTCATCTTTTGTGTTTCTAAAACTGCTTTCCTCCAACTACTCTCAAAAAGAAAACAACTGTCAAGGGAACTTCTGGTGACTTTAGAAGTCTCAAATTTGATTTCAGGAGGTAGAACTGACATTTTTTCTTCTTTCAACAGTGCTGATGAAAGTGATATGCTGTTCCAGATACAGGACATGAAATGCAAAAAAAAAAAAAAACAAGGTATTTAAGAGGTAAGTATTTTTTCTAATTTTTTCCCATCATTCAGGTTAAATACTAACATGCATTTAAATAAAAAGTTTACTTATAACATGTAAATACATGTTCTTGGGATTTTAAAACAAGAGGCCTTTAAGAATAAAGAAAATATTTTAATGAATTCTTTCAAATTCCAAATTATAGATATTTGGCAATATAAAAAAAATGAAAAGTCCAACAGCAAGCTATCATCTATAAGACAATAGAATGCTTAGAATTCTTTCAAAAATACTACTGTTATAAAGTGCATTAGCATCTGAAAAAAAAGACAAAATTATATGCTCTGTGGAAAATAAACATGTCCTCAAGATAGCCACTATTCTTACCCTAAACATGGACACAGAAGAATAATAAATCATGTATCCTGCTTATTTAATATATTAAATACATATTCAATTCAACCATATATATTAAGTGTCTATTTTCTGCAAGGTATTACTAAACTCTGAAAAGAATAAGTACTACCACGAACAAGATGCAAATCCTACTCTCAGAAGTCCAGTGGGAATGATAAAGCATGACAATATTATGAATTGTGTCTCCCCAGAGTTTAATGTGTTGGAGGCTTGGTCCCCACTGTGAAAATGTTAAGAGGGTGGAAAAATCTTATTATGGTAATTGAAAGGTGGGGCTGTGAAGAGGTGATTGGATTGTAGGACCACGCCATAGCAAGTGGATTAATAGTGGTGGTCAGGGGCGTGGTTCTGAGGGCTTTAAAAACAGAACACATGAGGGGTTATTCTCTCTTTGCTCTGCCATTTTTTGTTATGGGAGATCCCTGGGTCACTGTTGCCACCACCAAGGCCACCACCAAATGTGTTCACTGGACTTGTGTTCCCTGGACTTTGGACTTCCCAGCCTCCCAAACTGTAAGCAATAAATTTTGTTTTCTTTATAAAATACCCAGTTCTATGTATTTTGTTATAAGCAATAGAAATGGACTAATACAGACTTGTGTTCCCTGGACTTTGGACTTCCCAGCCTCCCAAACTGTAAGCAATAAATTTTGTTTTCTTTATAAAATACCCAGTTCTATGTATTTTGTTATAAGCAATAGAAATGGACTAATACAGACAACCACCACTACAGTTACAGTTTATTGAATGCCTATTATTCCAGAACCCTTGCTGAGCATTTTATATCCATTTTGTACAATCTTCACAATAAACGGATCAGAGATAGCCAGATTCAGCTATGCCCATTCATTCAAAGTGAATTATTTTCTGAGGGTTGGTTCTATCCCAAGAATTGCACAAGGCAATTAGCATTGGAGCAAACATGCTAAACAAAAGTCCCTGCCCTTGAGGAGCTTAGAATCCAGTAAAAGAAACACAGACGAGGAAATGGATAAGACAGTTTAATTAAGTGCTACAATGGGGAAAAAACCATAGGGTGCTACAGGAGCACCCAGGAAGGAATCCTAAAGCAATTAGGCATTAGGGAAGCTTTCCCAGGAAACTAACAAAGCGAGGGCATGGGGGGAAGAGGAGGTGGAGGAGGACAGCTGGCTCCTATAGAGGCAAAGCATGTAAAAAGACCTGGAGGTGAGAGACGGCATGGCTCAGGAATGTAGTCTAACACAGCGGGAGCAGCACATGTATGTTGCTCACTGGCAGAGTGTGGGCAAGAGTGTGGGAGGAGAGAGGGAAGAAGGTGGGGGACAGTGAGAGGTGAACCGTGTCCAAGGAAAGCTACTCCTGAGAAGCCAGCTGTGCCAAATCCTGGAGAGGTTATTTATTCTAATATGAGAACATGAGCTAAAAATAAAGGGGAAAAAGTCTTTGGATTTGGTGGTGAAGTCTTGGGTCTGCTTGAAATGGCAGTGTTGGGAGTTCAAAGTGAGAGTGGAGACCAGGCAGTAATGGGCTACAGAGTGGGGATGAAGAGCATCAGGAGACGCAGTCAGGGACGGCCGGGAGGAGACAGTCCCAACTCAGCACAGTGCCAAGGGCCCACTTTGGCTCCTCCAGCCTGACCTGCTGGGCCCTCTGGCCTCCGCCCGTGCTTCCTCCCATGCAGCACCGCTCAGAGCTTATTCTCTAACGTGGCCACCACCCTCTATTCTTGTGGTTGATCCTCCTTTCAAGCAACAAAAAAAATAAAAGTGGCTCATTCTTTCTCGGATGTTCTCAAGGACAAGCTCTTAAGCTCTTCTGATTTCATAGCATTGATATAGGAAGGGAAAGGACCCAGAAAAAAAACAGAATGTCCAAAGTAAGGCCATCTTGACTTTGAGAGGCCATTTTAAGTTAGGATTAACTATTAACCTAATGATTGAGAAGTAAAGACAGCAGGTCACAAGGAGAGTCATGAGATCTTATCCCCTCTGGAGATGAGAAACCACAAAGACCAGAAAATTCTTGAGATAGTTTACAGATGTCCCAGAATAGCAGTTAGCTTTACATTCTTAAGATAAGAGGAAGAATGAACCATCAGATGTAAATGATAAACCCAGGTTAGAAGCTGTACTTTTCCTTACACCTGGTTAACCTTTGCAAAACCTCTAAGAGCTATCACCTATTGAAGAGAGAGGTCTCATCCTCACTTCAGAGGGGAGACTGCTGCTTTGTCTATGAAGCAGCTTTCCTTTCTTGCACAAAGCCAAGGAGCGTCTTGGCTCGGGGCGTGAGGCCCTCCCTCTCGGGGGTCTCACACTTTCCAGCAACATCTTCCTGGTGACCACAAAGGGATGATTTGAAGGCCACCTGGACCCCCAAATTAAAGTCTGCACAGCACCAATTGGCCTCTACAGACAGGTGAGTTTTCAGTGTCTTTGTGGATTCTGCACTTAGCTCACTTTCATTTCTCTCCTTTTTGATTCCCTTTTCTTCTCCTGGGTCACACTCTTAGCCTTCTGACCAACCCTTCCTTAATCTTCCTTTCCCTGAGGACTTGCAGTCAGGCAAGCAATGGGCAGCAGCAGCTCATCCCGGGATAGCTTCCTGACCTTGCCCTCACAATAGGGATCCTTTACTTTCTCTGCGATTTCATTTTCATAAAGGACAGGACGTGGAGATGGGGCCTGACTATGGAGACGTGACTTTGCCATGACCTGGGTGTCCTGGATGGCAGAGCTGCAGGCATATAGTCATGCCCTTAGCCTTCTGCCTGATCTCTCTTTGAGACCTCTCTTCTACCTTCTCAACAACACTTGGGACACCAAGGCTGTCTACAGGGGGAGGGGAGCTCACTGACTCCCCCCTCCATTGGCTCTGAGTCTGATACCCAAATGCTCATTCCCAGCTGGGGAACTTTAAGGATAGTTTTTGCCCAAGCAAAGACTAGTCCTCTTTTCTTTCTCTCCCTCTTTCTCTTTTCATTTTCATTCTGGACATAAACCGATCCTTAACTTTAAGTTATGGGCCAGACTTTCTTTCCTTTCTGGTCCACCTACAATAAACTTTGCTCTTTCTGCCAATTATAAGGACTGTGTTCTTCCAGTCGCACAGATTTCTGCTCTGTGTGTCATGTTTTACCAGTGGCAATTCAGAGCCACCACCCATGAGAAATAGAACCTAAAGTCTGATACCATAGGTTTTCTGAACACCCAGCCAATTTCATCCTCTGGGTTATTTTTTCTGAGATTTTCAGCAATGTCATTGGAAACATCAAGATAATAGTCAGCTATTTTTCTTATATCACTACTTTTATATAGATCAGTGGAAGATTTCTCATTCACTACAGTCCCTAGTTCTTCGAAACTTCTTTCCCCCTGCCTTTCTGTCCTGGAGCTAGCCAAAAAGAAATTCTCTGACCTACCTTGTCTGATTGTAGGTTATAAGACCCCCATTCCAGAAAGGGTCCTGCCCTTTTTCCAGGAGGAAGGAATGCTATACAGAGAGACTGATGGGGGTTGGATGTGTCCTCCCCTCCAAAACTCATGTGGAAATTTGATCCCCAATGTGGCAGTGATGGAAACTGATTGAGTCATGGGGGCGGATCCTTTATGGATGGATTAATGCTCTCCCTGGGGGCGGGGGGAGTAATGAGTGAGTTCTTGCTCTGTCAGTTCCCACAAGAGCTTGTTGTTTATAGGACCCTGGCACCTCCTCTCTCTCTCTTGCTTCCTCTCGCCATGTGATCTGCTTGTACCCGCCGGCTGCCTGCCACTTTCCGTCATGAGTAGAAGCAGCCTGAGGCCCACACCAGATGCAGCTGTCCCAGAATCGTAAGCCTAATAAACCTCTGTTCTTTATAAATTACCCCATCTCAGGTATTTCTGTTATAGCAACACAAAACGGACTAATACAGAGACCAAGAAGAATCTGAACACACAGGCCTTTCTGGTTTCCCCACTCAGTCTGTTAGCATTAGAACAGACTTTTCTTGTCCAATCACATTTCTACATGGCTGTGCCTGCTTCATAGATCCTAAGCATAAATATGGACGATTTTCCCTATATCTTTGGGTTTTTATTCTGAAGGCTCTGTGTCACATAAAACTATGATATAATAAAATTTGTTGTGTCTTTTCTTCATATTAATCTGGGCTTATCAGATGACTTTCCAGAGAACCTTCAGGGAGTTGAAGGCTGTCTTCCCTTGGCCCCTACAGTTGTGGTGCTGTGAGCAGCATAACCAAGGTGACTTGCTCTTCTGGAAGCTGTAGCCAAGGGAGACCAGAGCTTGAAAGCTGGCAAAATGGTAAGCCTTTCCTACCAGTCGGACTCCCATCAAGCAGATGATAAAAATCATTCATTGTTTGTCTCTTTTTCCAAAATTTTCATTAATAGAACGCAAAGGATTTGTATGACTAGTCTGCAGTGTAGCGACTCTGGTGTATATTTGGTATGAATATCCGTGCTGCCTGATCCTCTTCCTCCCAGAATATTTTTATTTTACCTTTGTCTTTGTCTTCCTGTGTTGTTTTGTCATAAAGAGGGGTACCATAGGATAAGGTAGTTCTGTCGTCTTGT